CCTTGCAGACAAAAGCAGCCATGCTTTTGTCTAGTAGATGTCTAGTGACAAAAATCCACAGCACTTCTATTCTGTGTGCACTGCAGGCAGCAAAACCCTTTCCAACAAACTTGGAGCCTCCAGCAAAAGAGCAAAAGAACAGAAGCCAGAAGTAGAAAATGTCACAGAAAGAGAGCAAAAGAAAGCAAGAATATTACACAAGTCTTAATTACTGTATAAATAAAGCGTGATAGTTCAAACTCAATGACCCTGGAAAGCAAGCCAAGCTGTCCGCGGGAGAGAGTGAGGATTAAAAAACACACATAAGCTGAGCAACAGCAATAAAGAAAGCAACAAATGCTTTGGGTTTAGAATCTCCCAGAAAACAAATGGAAGAAAGGCACAGACTTGTAAAATCAAACTAATCCCTCCCCAACCATAGCACCTCAGCAGCCCACAATTAAAGAACCTGCCTATTCCTAGGCATCCACAGAATTTTCTTCAGGGCACTTTGCACATTTAAAAGATCAACCTGTCGAGTTGGACTTGGATGGTCTGCATCTTTCATATCTACATAGAGACTATGAAATCTTGAGTAGTATATAAAACCCCATCCCCATAAAGATTCAAAATGCCATTACTCCTTCTCTGCTTGCTAGCATCTCATTGGCACCTCCTGGCCTCAGCTGGGGTTTAGCTTCTAAAAGTTTAGTCAGTTTAGTTGCAGACATACCTTCAGAGATTTAAGAGTTCAGCTGGGGATTATGGAGAAGAGGGTGATTGGAGAGGTCACAAATAATTGTCTTTCCCATTTTAAGGATCATGACAGAAAATTTCAAGCTGTGACACTGTTGAGCGAAGAACATCAAAGAATATCCTTCCAACCTCTGGTATCTTATCCATTTTAGCTAGTCACTGTTAGATTTCCAGAATCAGTGCAATATGGAGCTGTGAAAGTTCAATTCATCCTTAATCTCTTTGCTGTTTAATATTCCTAAGGAAAATCAGGTATGCATTTCCTTTCTTCATGGTCCTCAGCAGTAGCCAGCCCCACAGGTCATCCCCAGAGCATCCCTTTGGCACAACCAGGCAACACCACCTCTCCAAGCATGCTCTCAAGGTGCTCATGACCATTCCAATGGATTCTGCTTCTCTTTTTCCATGATCCCAGACCTATGGTCTGCTAGAGGCTTTGGTTTTCACTTCACAGGGGCTCTTACACAGTAGCGCAATTAAATTTCCATGTATTTCCAATAGTTGTGTGAGCTTTATCGGGGCAGTTCTTGGTATTCCTAGCTTGCACTGAAGCAGTAGCTGAAGCAGTTAAGAAATTTTCTCCTTCTATACCCTGACTTAACAAGGTTTTTCAGAAGCACTATTCCCCTTAGAAAAAAGAGTTTGTGAATTAAGGAGTTCAGAGAATATGTAATTGGAAACAGTTCCATCAAATAATGGCTGTAGACTGGAATTCCCCTCTTGCCCTGAGGGACAGAGTAATTTATTTTTTTTTTTTTTCCTAACCCAGAAGAATATGAATTTCCATTTACAGAATCTTTTTTCTTTCTGAGCACTCAGACTGACCATTATTTGCCACTGAGACACAGCTGCCTCTGGAACAGAAGGCAGCAGTTCCCTGTAATCAGAATTGCCATTTATTCCACAAAATCTGTTGTACAGGTGTTGGGCTGCCAAACTGAGACCAGGCTGTTACTGGTGCCCCAGTGATTTTTGTTAAGCAAATGGAGTTTGACAGAAGACTCCAAGTTTAGATACACAAGCATGGAACAACAATAATAACAGCAAAAATCCATTTAGTCTTACCAGGGGTTCAAGTGGCTTCAACATTCCATTTTGCTGGGGGCACAGCCTTAGAGCACCATGCCATGGCTCAGGTGCAGTGGTGCCTCAGAAGGAAGGGTACCACTTACTGCAGCATCCCCTTCATTTTTTGTTGGGAGTCTTCAATCCAGCTGCATGCCCAGAGTGACTCATGAGAACCAAGGAGCCTTCTTCACCTGTGGGCCCAGTGTGTGTTGCTAAACAGACCTTTCTAGCTTGGTGAAGGTGGTCTAACAACTGCAGCAAAAACTTCTCACAGTCTGTCTGCTTTGAACTCACCCTGAATATGACCTTGCTGTGGATTTTGTCATTCTAAAACAAGGATCTCACTCCAGTTCTTTCCAAAGGAGGGAAGCATGCCTTTGAATGTGGCAAGGATACAACACAAGTAATGCCCAGTTTAGTCCTAAAACATTTCTAATGTGCCAGTCTTGAACTAGCTGTGCCTGTTTCCACATTTTTCTTATATAAATGCTCCTAATGCTGCTGTTTCCACTGGAGAAAGGAAACAAAGCTATCAAACACAAATGAAAGGTAATTTCCCTTTTTTTAATCCAGTCAGCTTCAACAGCATAGTCAGAAGTGCAGAAGGACTAGTGCAAAGAGATGAAGAATCACACAGAAGCTTATGGAGGTCTAAGAGCAGTAGAATGGCATACTCTAGTGGGGGGCTCACAAAATCCAGCCTGTACACCTGCTTTAGGACAGTGAAATAATTTTAAGGAAACCAGACATCTTTCAAGGAACGCTGGTTTTTGAGGACTTGCTGCAGTCATGTGTGTTATCTTTAGCTTACCTGCAATCTACAGTCAAGCAGGGCAGCTCTTGGTTCCTATGCAAAATGGCTTACTGATCTGAGCATTTATTTGCAAAGAGAGTTCTGCTCAAAGGCAAAGAAACTGTCTTCTCAGGGGCTAACAGTGGAGCAGCACATCTCAGATTTGGAATCTGAACAGCAGTGTTCCCATCTGCTCCGAATGACTTTAAAAGGCTCATTCTTCCAAAGTCACCAGGACATTTCAGGTGCTCCGTTTTTATTAACACTCATGCAAAAAGAGCAGTTGGATCTTCCCAGAATGACTTAAATCCTTAAATAATCTTCCAGTATATTTTGTAAGAGAAAGTCTTTAGATATTCCTGGCTCAAAGCTCCTCCTCACACAGCTCTGCAGCACAGTGATGGCAGATCCCACCTAAGAGATGGGTAGGCATTAGCACACTCCCTCAATTTTTTTCTCCCCACTGCCTGCCTCATAAAGCACTTGGGGATTAATGGGAGTATTTTAAAAGTTGCCTATCTTTCTTATTCCAATCAGCTGCTTTACCTTAATTTTATGAAATATGTTAGTAGTGCCACAGAGGACAAGGTAGCTTCACTGCTTTCTTTGACCAGCTATGTCCCTCACATTCAAGTTTAGCATCCAGGCAGTAATTTTTATCTCTTTCACATCTTCTCCAGCAATCAGGTTTCTGATACCTCCCACTCCCCAATACAAATGCAGTCACCTTTGTACCCATGGTCACCACTACTGGATGAGGAAGATCTTGTTATGCCCCAGATCAGTGAATAGTTTTCCAATGTCTTTCCTATATCTATGGCATGGGGACAGACATCAGGATGCCAGCAGATGGGATGGGTGCAGAAGAGGAGGTGAGTGTCTTCACAGGCAGTTCTTTCCTTTTACAGACTTCTTTTCTCAGGTGAAGTTCAGCCACCCTAAGCTAAGCTGGATCATGCTGCTAAATGAGGGAGAAAACACTGCACTCAGTCTTGTGATGATGGGATTGTGCTACCAGAATAACAGCATCCAGTGGCTTGTCTCCAAGAAGATAAGTTAGAATTCAGAATCCCTTTCTACTGACCACAAGCATAAGTTCTTGTAATCTCTCTCTGGCAACATTCAAGAATATTTATGAACACTAAAACTGGCTAAGAAAAAACCCACACATTTTCAATGTATGATAAGGTCTCATGAGGACCTATATATTTCCATAAAATGCGATGCTTTAGAATCAGAAAACTGGGGTTTTTTTTCCTGGATTGTTCATTGGAAGGTCATTTAAAAAAGTTAACCAACATTTAAAAATCTTTAGTGTTCCTTTTGAGCCAACCAAGCACTTCTAGTCAGGAGACTGTTTGGATTCTAGCAATTTTTGATTAGTTGTTGGTTAATGAATTGTCCTTTAGACAAAAGCCTGAATACTTTGACTTCTTTTGATTCATCCAGAAGTGATATGGGTCATGGCATCTTTGGAGCAAGCTGTCAGAAAGCAACTCAACAATTTTGCCTCTAATTGGACCCATTAACAGAGCAAGGAAACTTCCTACTCCTTATTCCAAGAATAGCAACAATGCCTTTTGAAAGAGGATTAGTGGCGTATTCAAGTGTGCCAGTACTCCTCAGCTCTGAAAGCTCCTCCACTGATGCCAAGCAGCCAGATCAGTCTGCAGGAGGAGGGAGCCTGCACAGCACTGATGTGGTGGTGTTCAGCATGGCTGAAGTTGCAATGGGGTGAAAACTCACAGCTATACCATGTGAGCAAGCACAGTTACAGCAATTCCTACTGGCTGTTTTGGCAGAAGAATTCCCATCTGCAAAAGCTAGCAAATTCCTCAAACCTAAAACCAAAGACAAAACAAAATGCTAGAACAACATGGAAGGAGGGAAAAAGGCTGCTCTCCATCCTATGTGCATGGTACAGCCTGTCACTTTCATGTTCCTTCCTCATACTGTGAGTTCCAGATAAAGGAATATGTGTTGGGATCAAGCACAGAAAAGGATAAGCCTCATTATTTGAGGGTTGTACCTTCTTTGTGCAAGTTGTTTTACAAGGAGAAAAAGTCTCAAATGCTTATGTGGAAATTTGTTGGTATTTGTTCCTGTTGGCTGGCTGAAATTTCCATTTTGCTGGCTCTCCATTTTATTTTTCCCTTTGCTTGCAGTAGCTTTTAGTGAGAATAAGTAAAAGAGATTTGGTGTTGCCTGTTAGGGCATGCTGCGACTTTTCAGTTCAATCATTTTATTATATCAACCCAAATTAAGTATATTACTTACGCTGCACTTCCTGCCTCTTGAGCAGGAATGCCTGAATGGAAGCAGGCAAGGTGTGAGGACTCAACATGTTAAGGTGTGCCTTGGGAAAGGTAACACCTTTAATGATTCCATGAAATAGACCCAAGTTCTAGACAAGCCCTTTATATCTGGTTTTCTTTGAGCATATGTACCATCTGCTTTTTGCAGTATAGTAGAATGCATGGAGAACATTTGGTTTAAGTAAACCTGGAAACTGGAGGGAATAATCCTAATGACAACTACACATTCTCACAGAGATCCCCTTTTATCTCAATCAGGAAAAGGTTCTTTCTCCATCAGAAGACATTAGGGGCTCCATTTCACTACTCTCAACCTTCAAGCAGATGTTCAGCTTTGTGCTGCTCTGCCCATTTATTTGCTGCTGCAGGACTTCCATGACCTTTAGGGGTGATTCCAGCAGAAGGGTATTGCTTGCTTGGTGTGCTGCGGACTCACTGGAGGTTCTCACTGTGTTATTGAGGTTCTGTGTTGTCTTCTGGAAAAGAAGAGACTGGTTAAAAGCCAGTGAAGCTGGCTGTTGGTAACAACTGGGCAGCACAGGTCAGCTTCATTCCTGTTCCTGTGGTTTATTAGTGAGGTGAACCATTTCATTCCAGTTCATTTAGTGTCACCTTTGCTACTTGCAATGAATGGCTTGCCTTGCTCAGCCTGTAAGCCCAGGTTTACACTGCTTAGGTTCAAGGCCTTTCAATGGCTATGTCAGCTCCTTTGCTATCCCACTGACAGGTTACATAGCATCTGCAGCCCTGCCAGAGCAAGGACAATGCTTAATCCACACAGACACACGTAATGCCTTTGAGACAGACATACTCTGCTTGGACCACAGTTTTGGTTATGCAGTACAGCACCAGGACTCAGATGCCATTCTTGTCACAGAGAGCTGCCCAGTTCTGTTCCCTGCGCCAACTATCCAGTAAAGGAACTTACTTTAGGGAGATCTTAAGGGGAGCTTCTGGGCAGAAGTGACTTGCACCCTGTTCTATGGGAAGTTTCTTCCTTATTTAAAGAGTCTTTTTGGTCTGCAAAGTATCACAAATCAGGACAGGGGAAGGAGTATGGGAGGGCTAGATTTGACAACTGCAAGCTTTAGCAGTTAAGTGTAGGTTGTTTCTGTCTCTTAATCAGCACACAGCTTTTTCACCCCCTGACTTGTTTAATTCTTTGTGCTGGTTTCTTTCTCTCCTGTGAAATTAATTCTTTTGGCTCCTGTTCAATATGGTGTTAAGTGCCTACTTAATCCTTTGCAGTAGTTTAAGTTGCTGAATAGAGAGGAAGCTTGGGCTATTGCTTAGAAACCAGGATGGAGCTGTTGGAACGGTAGGAGCTTCATGCTACAGCCAGGCTTGCCGTGTGACAGTGGGCAAATTGCATTGCCTGGTTTCACTTCAGCATCCCCCTGTGTGCACAGATGAGTGTTACTCATTCCCCTTGCAGGGGGTAGCATGAGGTGCCTGCCGGTGGGGTTTGTGGAGGGCTTTGAGAATGCTGCCTTTGAAAGATGAACATTGTCTCTGCAGTGAGCTCTGGATGGCTGGACATGTTTGACAGCACTCTGTGGAGCAAAGAAAGGAGTGGGACTGTGCTTTGTAATAAAGGGGAGACAGTTTCTGAGACAGCTTTTGAAGCTCAGTTCTATATATAGTTTTAATATATTTTAATTTAGACACAATACAAGGTGCCACAACTTCAGAAGTTAGAGTAGGGGCTGAATCAGGCAGACATACTGGAACATTCCTAGCGCTATCCCAAAGCCAGCAGTGAGATGTGGAACTTTAGGGCCTCAGATGGAGAGAATCACATATTCTGCTTAACAACTCCTTTTTCTCTTGGAGTCAATTTATGTGGGGCAGTTTGACTTACAAACTCTGTTTGATGAGAAAACTCTCAGGAGGGCAGTTTTAAATTGCTTACACATAATTCCTATTTTTCCAGTGGCTCAAAGCAACAAATATGGGTGACCAAACAACTTCCTTTCCCAACAGGTGGAAGATGGAGACTGAAAGGAGGGAAGGCTTGTAAGAGAAAGGCCAAGGGAAGCAAAAAGAGAGAGAGCATTTTGCTAGTCTCTGACAAAGACTGATACTGTTTTTGGTATTTTTTATGTTTTGATGATTAGACCTGTAGAGACGTATGACACTCCAAATGCGATGGTACAATTTGTCAGTGAGAATACTAAGAAAAAGATTTGAAGGCTGAAATTCAGATCCAGCTTAGCCCTTTGTACAGGTAAATTTTTGGGATTTAGAGCTCATTTGAGAAGGGAGAGAGTCACAGGTTCAAGTTCCAACTGATTAGAGCAAAGGTTTTCCTCTCCAGTCGCACAGAATTAGGCAGAAGAGGAACACAACTCACTCAGTCTCCCACATGCCATATCAACAATCAGAAAAGCCTGTTATGCAGGTCATTTATACAACAATCAGAGGTCTCCTTTTGGCCTTCTGGCACACTCCTGAGAGGATGATGCAAGACAAAGTATGAGATAACTAAACATAGAGATCATTCCTACTGCTCTTTTCCTTTCAAATGGAATTTAGCCCTGCTGAGAAGTTCAGAGTTGACATCGCTGAGGTCTGAGATTTCCTGTTTACCTCAAAAAACAAGTATAGCAGAGGCTGTGGTGGCTCAGGCTTCCATCGAGTGCCTCAGCAAATCATCATCACCCCTCACCCAAAGGGATGCACCACAGGAGCATGGGGCTGTGTTCCTGCATCTACCACCACTTCCCTCTCTCAGAGCGTCCTCAGCCCAAGAATCAAAGGTCTTTCCGGACACTCCTAAATAATGTTCCTGCCACCCACAAGAGGTTCACTGATCTCAGTGAGGAAGTGGGAAAAGTACTTTCTTTTTCCCTAAAAGTACTCACCACCTGCTACTGCCAAATGTGCCTGCTCTCAGCATGGGCTTAGGGAGACACAGTAAGTCGTTGTTGTAATAATGGCACACAGACTGAAGAGAGATTAAGTGGGACAGTTGACACCTCTCTTGCTGTTGTTTCAGTCTTTTTGGGGCTCATGCTGGATGAGATTGGCTCAAGCTGGTTGGAGCACAGTGTTAATACCACCAAGATTAGGGGCTCAACCCCCATATGGGCTATTCACTTAAGAGCTGGACTTGATAATCCTTTCAACTCAGAGTATTCTATGATCTGGAAATAAATGTTATGTATTGTGCATTATAAGTGAGACATTAATTTTTCAGAACTGTATGCCTTGCATACACAATCTTTCTCTAAACCCGTCTCAAGAAATATTCAGGATGAAATCATTAGGGGCTCTTAAGATCAGGCTGTCAATTCCACCACCCACAGTAAAACATTCCCATTTGAAAGGGTTTAGTTACAAATGTAAAAAGATTGGAGACATGGTGGACAACATAGGCATTGCTATGAGAGGTTGCTGTGTGAGAAGCCATATTGTTTATTGATTCTCCCACTTGCAATGGCAATAAATGACATTTCTCATGCTACAGACAGAAGAATAAAGTCTGTTCATAAGCAAGAAGAGCCTTCATTTGGATGCAGATAGTTAGCATTTGAGTCAGGACAACCCTTAAGAGCTGAATTGGCTGGGATTCACTGCATGAGACTTGAAATCAGATTATATACAAACTCAGTAGAAATACTGTTTTAGTGGGAGCTGGAGGAGATCCCAGATGAATAACAATCAGATTCCCTTTCAACCCTTGCTCTTGGACATCTGCTTCTTTTGTATGTGCTGGGAAAGATTAAAAAGTTTGGAAACAGTATTCATATGGTGCCTTATCACAGTTCTGGGGCATTCTCTGTCCTCCTCACTGCACAGAGGTGCTAGCAGTTTAGTAAGAGCAGGGTTTGGCATTCAGGAGTGTGATGTTAAAGGATTGTGTATAGCCAGCCAGGGTACATTCTGTTTCAATCAAACCTGTTCTGCCTTGGAAAAACTTAAAGGACAAAGGATGATTAGATGTAGAATTGATGCCTACACAAGCAAGTAGGTGGTCAAAGACACTGCAAGCTTTATTTACCCTTCTCTGGCTGGCATATTGACAGCAGTTATTATATGTTTCCTCTGAAAAGAGTAAGAATTCCACAGAGGCCTCCAAACTCCTCCCTTACAATCTGTACCTTGGACTTGACATTGAGGTCTCGCTCTGTGTCATGGGAAAATTTTCAGTCATCTGGAATCCTTGCAGGATTTTTGCTAATGGGGAATCTCTCAGTGCATGTATGCTCTCCTTATATTTTATTTATGGGATTACTTCTAATACAGTTGGCCTTTGCTAGAATCTCTGGTCCCGTGAAAAGCCGACTGCTCCAGGCAGCACCTTAACAATGGTACCTGAATCATGCAGTGGAGCCATGGCCAACAGTTACACCCCATGGCTGAAGCAGAAAAAAAAACAACTATTTTTTTTCTCTACTGATGGCTTTTATACAGTTCAGCACTGTTTTGCAAGGAGACTTGAGCTATCCTATGGCACTAATAACTGTGAGATCTCAATAATTGCTAGAAAAGCGTGCTCCATTCAAGTGCAGCCTAACCACAACTGCAATCTGCAATGCAACCTGTTCAACAAGATGGGAAATTCTGTCTCCATCCAACTGCGAGTGGGTCACTGTTTGGAAGTGAGCATGGGAATAGAATCCAAGTCCTGTTATCATAAGACCTAATGAGACAGAGTCTTCTACTTAAGTTATTTCAAGAGTATAACTTTGGCAAGGAAAAATATTTCTATTCTAAGACTTTGCAGGTTCCAAAATAACATCCTACTAGAACATCCCAACGTACTCTTCCACTGAACCTTGTCTGTGCTGGATCAAAAGTAGCAATATGATCTTCACTGCCTTTGTACTGTATTAGTACCATTGTTATGGCAGTGGTTGTTCCTAGAGATAAAGGAACAAAAGTACCTAGTTATGAGGACATAGAAACAGGGTCTGAAATATCTTATGTATTCCAGTTATTCTGGTAAATTACTTTGAAAATTAAAAATAGATGGTGGTCTTCAACAAGCCTATAAGGGTGAGAAAATTCAATTGTTCTGCTCAAAGGTATAAAGCCTGATGACCCCAAATTGGGTGGGAGTGTTGATGTTCTGGAGGGTAGGAGGGTTCTCTGGACAGGCTGGATCAATGAGCCAAGACCAATGGTGTGAGGTTCAACAAGACAAAGTCCTTGCTGGGTCCTCTCCTTGGGTAACAGCAACTTCAGGTAACTTCCTCTGCAGCGCTAAAAGCCAGGGCAAGAGTGGCTAGAAAGCTGCCCATTGGAAAAGGTCCTGGAGGTGCTGTTCAACAGCAGCTGAACATGAGCCAGTGTGTTCCCAGGTGGCCAAGAAGTTAGTTTTTTATTAAAAACTTACTTTGATGAGGTTCTTTGTCATGTGAGAAGCTTCGCTGTTTCTTCACACCTTTTGTACAGCTCTGGGATCTCTTCATGCACTATACACTTTTTATACCACACAGCTGCTGCCAAAACTGGAATTTCCCCCACCACA